GTCGCTACATTTAAATATTGGCAACATATTTTGGTATTTACCTGTTCTTCACCAGCCAGTAGTCATGTTCATTGTCACTGCCGTAACCCACAGCCAGTACATCATGGCCCACATTTGAGCTGCTGCATGCTGGTTCATCATACACTCCTAACACACAAAGTCAGATCAGACTGACTCATTGAACAAACATTTATTTATCATTCAACCGATATAACTGTTCACCTGAGTGATACAGCTTGAAGGATGGATGAGAAGCATCAATGGATACAGACACAGGTCCCACGGTGGCCACAGCTTCTTTCAAGGCAACTTCGTCTCCTTGGTTCACGCGGACGTAGCCTGTGCATGTGGCAGCGCTATAGGCAAGGTTGTGACGGCATTTACCATCCTATTTGGAAGACAAAATTAAACAATTGACAAAATGTGGAAATGTCTTATGTGGAGGGCCAACATTTTGAAAACATTACGAATGAGTTGAGTTCCATCAGGATAGTTCCTAGCAGGATTATGAAGGCATTTTCATCACTTTTTTTTGTTTTGATGTAGTCTGTGAGTGTGGCACCGATAGTGGCAGGGTTGTAACGGCACTCTCTATCCTATGTAAAAAAATAAACTTTCACAATTTACAAACTTTCAACAAAAATGTGGTGGTCTTGTATTTGTTCCTGCTTGTCTGAAATATCTCTGATATACAGGATGTACAGATAGTAGTGTTTATAGGCAGGCATGCTTGATATTCTTCCCATTGAAACAAAACATAATAGTCTGCCGGATAGTAATACTGGTACAGGATGGAAAATAATACAAACACGGAATAGCTGCTTTTATTAAATGGTCCATGAGACATGGCTTTGCCCTAAAGTCTGTTTTTAGCCAATATACATTTAACCTAAAAAATGGCAATCTGGCACATTGAAGGGCCGACATTTTTAATACAATGAGTTGAGTTCCATCTTCAACTACGCTTTTTGCATGATAATGACAAATATCACAGGATACTGTATGTGTGGTGGCTATTGCAACTCAATATATCACCATGGATTGATACTGTGTACTTTTTAGTTGGACCCGTGCGCTCTCCAGTTAAGACCGCGACATTCTTGCTATTCATACCATTTATTTAAACCAAAAACAGAGGCTGTTGGCAACACGGTCAAAAAGCTCACACAGCCTCAATCTTCCGCACCTGTGCCGGTGAGGTCACTTAAATGCCCTGTGCCCCATTGCGCCATCTAGTGCTCAAAACAAGCAACAAAAACATACAAATGGACACAACACTTTACATCTAAAGAAGTTTTCAACCGAACAGATTTTATTTACCTTAGCCTCATAAGGGTAGGAGTCTGCTGTGTTTATCCCTCTGTTGGCTTTAATGTACTTGAAGGCTTTTTTCGCCTTGCCTTCTATGCAACCAAAATTCCAATTGTTTCCGGAGCAATCCACAAGCTGCTGCTCTCTCAGAGACACCAGCTTCCCTGTCTTCCTGAAGTGCTGACCCTCCAGCGAGCCAGTCTGAAAGAGAAATGAGTTATATGAAACCAGAAAACATTGATGTAAAGTTTCCTGTATTACCAAAAGAGAGGACAGGAAGTAATGTTTGTACATACTGCACTGAAGGCCCAGCAGGAACCACACTGCTTCTGATCCTTGACTTCAGTCACATATCCCTTATCCCTCCAGTCAACACTGTCTGGCAGGTTAATTCCTCCAGACAGTCGGAGAAAAGCAGAGCCAGTGTGAGGCAGAGAAGTGTTGAAGCAACCAAGGGAACCCTTGGAACTCAAGCATCTGTTCTCTTCATTTTCCTGGTAAAGAGGGACAAAAGGGTCACTTTTTAGGGTCTTAACCAAATATTGATTTAATGCCTCATCAAAGGATTGTTATAAATGGTAAATGTTTAGAGCTGAAAGATGGCAGAAACTACTTTCGAATTTGGTCATGCCAAGGCGGTAGGACTTGATGCCCTGATCAGCCATGATGTTGTGCTCCAGCACCAGTCTGCGGTTGTTGAGCCAGATTTCCCTGCGCTGAGCCTCCTCTACCCGAGAGTTGCAGGACCTTCCTGCCAACCTTCTTGGCCAGGTCAGCATTGAAAATGAGATTTTATCTCAATGTTTTTATCTGGTTAAATAAAGGTTGAATAAATAAAATCAGAAGAAAACAAATCCATGATACATAATTATTAAATACAATTATTTCCAGTTAAGAGATTTACCCTTTTTAACGGAAAAACAAGAATGTATGCTGTATGTTAAATTGTAGGCAGATTACACATTCCTTTACTTTAGACGTTTAGGTGTGTTGTGTGTAAATTAGTACGCATTTAGCACACTCCAAATGTAAGCCTCACTGACACTAAACCCAAAGAAAACAGATCTACTTTGTTCGACAACAGTACACAATAAGTAGAAAAAGTCGGATAGAGTCTCACAAAACTTGAGTTTCCAAGCATGGAACTCCAGGTCATCTGAAGAGATGGAGGCACAGCTGGCCACAGCCAGAGCAGCAGCAGCAACCAGCAACAGCTTCATCCTGACTGACACACAGACTGAAGAAAAACAAATACATCTTTAGTGACTTGTAGCACACAGGTCGAGATTAAAATTGTTCACTTCAGCTTCGTCTCACAAACTTGTCCTTCCTTCTAGCAATGTATCAGCTCTATTTCCCGGTTCTTTTGAATCTCTGACTATTTATCAACAGCAGTACAAATTGTGTTTGCGCTTGTCTGTCTGTTTTAGTGTTCCCTATTAAGTCTGCTGTAGTTGCTTACCTATCTCTCTCAGTTGATATGATGTTTGAGGTCTGTCCACCTGTAGAAGATGCAGGGCTTTGTTAGGGGACCTTCTTATAGCTGACTGCAGTTCATAAAGAAAATCTGAAAAGCTCGTAATGAAATATTGGAAAATTGCACAATGCACTTTATTCGGGAAACATACATCATGGTCATCAATTCCTTTTCTCAACAAAGTTATACAATAGAATAAGACACCCTCTGTCCTCAGACCCTTACATCAGACAAGGAACAAACTCCCAAAGAAATGTGGGCGGTCCTTTGTGATGTATTCTATTTCTACACAATATAAAATATTTGTATCATAACTGGGTTTAGTGTACATAGATAGTTTGTCAAAATAATAATTAAATGATAGTACCTTGTAAGTTTGATTCTGAAGCCATCAAGTAAAATGTTACTTTATACATACTAAAGTGTGAAAAGTACACTCCATACAATCAAGCATTTACATCAACAGTCAGGTGACAAGAACAAGTCATCAATCGATCAATCAAATGTACTTTATATAGCCCAATATCACAAAGTACACATTTGTTTCAGGGGCCTTTACAAAAAGTGCAGCATACGACACCCCCTGTCTAGACCCTTGCAGCAAACAGGTGTAAACTCCCATAGAAACGCCACAATTAATGAAGAATTATTGGGGAAAGGATCAAAGGAGGGATCCCTCTCCCTGGCCAGACACATGAGCAATAGATGTTGTGTATAGACAATAGACAATCAGAATTATAAATGTTTTAATAATGCATCATGGAGGACGTCAACATTCTTCCAGGTGCCGCCAAAAACAATAATGTAGGCGTCAGGCAGGACAACGGCAACAGGTGCAGCCACGACTCATGATCCTGACACAAACTATAATACTGGCAACCTGCCAGGAAAAAGATGGAAAAACTCCTGGGATGATGCCCCGGATGCTAAGTTAGTATCATGCATTTTTGGGAACGGGAAGAGAGATGAGAAATGAAATATGAAATTCCCTCGACAGTCAAATCCTATAGCAGCATAACTATAAGCGTCATTAAAAAGAAAAGTCTTAACCCTAACCCTTACCCTGGCTTTCATTGTATTTTTGGCTGTATAAACCACGAATAACCATACATTATTGGATGCAATGCCCTAGTGTGCCTCTACTGTGACATGTTTACATGCTTTGATGTTTGAAAGCGCTTTTGGTTAGTGATTGGTCGACCGTTCCGCCGTAATGTCCCGCCTTAAGTCTATCACGTACAATGTGTTGGAGCGCTAGCCAATAGAAGCGCGGGTGTAACATAATGATGTCACTATGTTACTGAACTAAACAAAGGATTCCAATCCAGGGCGTATCAGAGAGAGGGGCGACTGTGTTGGAGAGAAACCCCCTCTGGCGTGATCCTTAACACACTAGAGAAAAATGAGAACCCCCAAAACTATAATATAACTATAACCATAAAATGGAGCCAGTTTAGAGCAGCTAATACAGGAGTAATATCGTCTTGTTTTCTAGCTCTTGTCAATACACATGCTGCACCATTTTGGATCAACTGAAAAGTCTGAAGAAGCGTTTGGATACAACCTGAAAAAAAGGAATTACAATTGTTTTGAGGTAGGATTTGCCTTGTCTATGCAATGGTACAAAGTTGAAAGAAGGAAGCCCTTGAAATCAGTTTTTTAAGGAAGTTAAAGGACATACCCTGATAAGTTGTGCTGGAGGCCAAGTTATTGCCATCCAGAGTAAGTATGTCATTACATGATTTGTTTCAGAGTTGTTTGGGGCCAAGATAAATATGGTCAGTATTGTCTGTGTTTAACCTTAAAAGGTGGGGTTCATCAACTTTTGTATGTCCTTAAGGCCTTTCTTGAATTGTATTTGATTAATTGGTTTCATTTGGCTGGTTTTATAGATATAATTGAGTATCATGGGTCATGATTCGCCACAACTGCCACATTGTGGATCTCTTATTTTGGTCGCATGTCGATGTCGTTTTATTCGTCTGCATCGGCTTGAACATGACGTTTATGACACTTAGCTAATAGCTTTGGAAATAAAATGTGAACTGTCTAAAATGAAGGAAACAGCTTTTTTACATAATTATTGCCATGGTTACTAACAGTCAGCTACCAGGTTGCTCTTTAGACGGCTATTGCTTCCTCTTGACCCAAAACATACACATCAACAAATTCCTACTAAGATAATGGTGGACAATAAAAAAAGAACAAATAATTGAAGTATAATTGTTTATTTTTAAATCAGTTTATTTTACGCTACATTTATTGCATTTAAAGTGCAGAAAGACATTGAAACAACAATATGACATATTTTTCCATAACTCAGTTTCTTTATTAAATGTAAGCAAAATCTGCATCATTTTCTTCCACCTCATTTAGGACTTTTCTGGACCTGAAAATCCAATAAACATGAATTACATCCAGTAAATAGACATTAGGGTGCATACACGCATTATTCAGGATACATCCGTGCAGAAAGCCTTGTTTAAATTGCATTGTCAAATAGCATAATGAGAAAATAAACTTTGCTCTCACCTGCTCAGACCAGGGGGTAGCTGGACGCAGCAGCGATGCCACACTGGTTGTGTTTGTTCCTGCTCATCATGATGTATCCCTTGTCTCCCCATTCTAGGCCCCAGCTACAGAAACAAACACATTACCAACAATATACATCTCCTGTAAAGAATCACAACAGTGGTAACAAGAACAGGTAGATAAATAGTGATTGGTTTTCTGATAAAGATAACTTATAGTGGCTATTCATTTTAAGTTGAAGAGGTTGTCAACTGTCTGTCCCCACGTGTAGGTGCTAGCATTAAAACAGTTCAACCTTTCAAATATAAGCAACATTTGTTTTGTATTTACCTGTTTTTGACCAGCCAGTAGTCCTGTCCATTGTCACTGCCGTAACCAACAGCCAGAACACCGTGGTCCAACTCTGAGCTGCTACAATCTGGCTCATCATACACTCCTAGAATCACACATAACCACATTAGACAGACATATCTTTAGGTAAAAAAAAAGGAATACCCTCTATTACTTTATACATTTGATAAGTATATTTTCTGGCAGTAAAGAAGTATTTATTACTGTTCACCTGAGTGATACAGCTGGAAGGATGGCTGAGAAGCGTCAATGGCCACAGACACAGGTCCGATGGTGGCCACAGCTTCCTTCAAAGCATCTTCGTCTCCTTGGTTCACATCAACGTAGCCTGTGCAACTGGCACCAACCATGTTAGGGTTGTAACGGCACTGTCCATCCTAAGGTAGAGAGACAAGTATTTTATAATTCACCAACTTTTTCTAACTAAAACTCTGACCTAATAAGAGATGGATTTCTTAGTCACAAGACAAAAGTCTGTTTTAGGTCACGATACATTGGGCTCCAAGATTGCAGTACTGCGCATTTCTTACATGGAGGATTGAAATTTCCATCTATACTTTTTTCCCATGATAATGACAAATTGCTATCTGACATCTAGATGTTTCACGTATTATATATTTTTAAACCAAACTGCTTGCTGCTTACCTCAGCCTCATAAGGGTAGGAATCCTCTGTGTCTATCCCTCCGTTGGCTTTAATGTACTTAAAAGCGTTGTCCATCAGTCCTCCATTACAACCATAATTTCCATAGTCACTGGAGCAGTCCACCAGCTGCTGCTCGCTCAGAGACACCAGCTTCCCTGTCTTCCTGAAGGTCTGACCCTCCATTGAGCCAGTCTGAAAGAGAATTTATTCCAATTTTAACCACAAGACAATTGTTTAAAGTTTCCTGCAAAAGAGAGGACACCAAGTAATGTTGGTACATACTGTGCTGAAGGCCCAGCAGGAACCACACTGCTTCTGATCCTTGACATCAGTGACATATCCCTTATCCCTCCAGTCAACACTTTTGGGCAGATCGGTTACTCCAAGCAGTCGGAGGAAAGCAGAGCCAGTGCGAGGCAGAGAAGTGTTGAAGGAGCCGAGGCAACCCTTGGAAATCAGGTGTCTGTACTCTACATTTTCCTGACAAAGAGAGGCAAAAGTGTCCTTTATTTAGGTCTTGACAATGATAACTGATTGTCACAAATGGTAAAAGTTTTAAACTAAAAGATTGCAGAAACCACATTTCTGTTTTCCTCTTCATACCAAGTCAGCAAAGTAGGTCATGCCAAGGCGGTAGGACTTGATGCCCTGATCAGCCATGATGTTGTGCACCACTACCAGTCTGCGGTTGGTGACCCAGATTTCCCTGCGCTGAGCCTCCTCTACCGGGGAGTTGTAGGACCTTCCTGAGATAAGGAAATATTCAGTGATAAATTATTAATCCACTAATCCTGTTCCAGTAAAAAGATTTCCCTTTATTGTCAAAAAACTATGTTGGCAGATTACAATTCCCTTTACTTTAAACCTTTAGGTGTGTAAATGAGAACACAGGTGCATTCTAAGTAAGTAGGTAGACCTCATAGGCAGTATTTTCCCAGTAAACAGAAGAATACTGTATTTGACAACAGACCACATAAAAAAAAAACAAGTCTGATAAAATAATCTCACCAAACTTGAGTTTCCAGGCATGGAATTCCAGGTCTTCCAGAGAGATGGAGGCACAGCTGGCCACGGCCAGAGCAGCAGCAATCAGAAACAGCTTCATCCTGACTGACACACAAGCAGAAAAAGTCAATAATTTCCTGCAGATTGAGGTTAAACTCTTTTACTTCAGCCCTGCCCACACATTTTGGTTGCCTTGACATTGGGGAGTCACATGCGGTATCTCTGCCCGGTTTCTTTGAACCTCTGTTTCATCTCTCCATCAAACTCTTTCTCGCTGAGTCTCTGTTTCTTATTTGCATCAATGCTCCTGCAGCACAGGAAGTGTGTGCGCTTGTCTGTTGCATGTTTCCTATTATTTCTGCTGTGGTTGCTTACCTTGTTGATGTGAAGTGTAAGGTATTTCCACCTGTAGGTGATGCAGGGCTGTGTTAGAGAGACATTCTTATATAGCTGACTGAAGTTATGACTTGCCGTTTGTCCAGTCAGGCGACTGTCAGCTGCTCATAAAGTGAACGAGAAAAGGAAGAGAGTGTCAATCATTGAAAAAGGGAACAGCCAAGTAATGAATTATGAGAACATTGCATGATTCACATGTTTTGGGAAACATAAATACAAATCCGGAAATGCTCTTGTAAGAACTCTATTAGTTACTCAGCAGTTTTGTTTTGGGGAATCACACCATCAAATAAGGGGAAACACAGCCTGTATGTGGTTTAGCATGACATCTATTAAAAACACTGTTGGGAATTGTTTTTTTCTGCAGTGCATTCTGATTTTAGTAAAATAGTGCTGGCAAATCTTCTGAACATTTTTCAAAAAGACACATAATGCAATAACATTATTTATGTGGTAACCATGTTTTACTGGAAACCTAACCAACCAAGTTATACCACACTGGAAAATGTGTTTGTATCAAGTAAAAGCTTTCTTGTTTCCGGTTATGTGTTACTTTAGCTAACTCCCACTATGTTTCTTTGAGCAATTTTCATAAATGATGTTGTTTAAATTGAAGTTGTTTTCACCCATAATTTCCCCTTAAAAATACTGTATGGATTAAAGTGTTTTCTCCTTCTTTATTTATTAAGATACACAAACAAATGGAACAAACATTATCAAAAACGTACACATTCTCAACAAATATTCTGAGCTTTAAATGTTTCCCTTTAACCGAAAGGCTTTGGGAGATTCTGAAATACTACAAAGAAATATCTACAAAAACATTCTGATAAATGACTCTTCCCACCAGCACTTGCTAGTGTTTGACTCATGATTCATTGGTATTTCCATTTACAGTTGTTCCTTTCTGTTTCCATACACACGTCCTCTTTTTAATTTGCATGTAAGAAACAATTAGTTCAAGCAGAAATCATAGTTGGGAATTGAATTAATTAATTTGTTTCTTAAGTCATCAGATGATGGCAACCTAAATTTGAATTATTATAAGCTCTTTTTTACATTTTGTAGAGGCAATGTAATCATGTTATTGTCTTTGTTCACTGCAGTTCAGATTCTCTCTCTGCCCCGCTCTCGTGATGCCTGTAGTCTCTCTATCTCTGCGTGTCTGTCCGTCTGTCACAAGGCTTTCAGGTCAGCAGGACTTAAGACAATAAAGATGCCGTGAAAAGATAAACAAACTCTGACCTAAGCTAAAAGTTTACAGATGTCATTAAACTCTATGAGCTTGTCTCGTGTTTCTGCCTGTTTGTGGGCAGTCTCTCAGACATGGGTGAAGTGTCAGTAATGTTTGTATGTTTGGGTTACTTGCAAATATTTAATTAATTTGGTAATTCATATTACAGCACTAGTTTAATTGTATTACATAACACTTTAATTACTTGCTCATAAAAATTAAAAATAATAGAAAGACACATGAGCATTGGTGGAAAAAGTACTCGGAACATTAATACCACAATGTCCAAAAGTTCAAATATTATCAGCTAATTATACTTCCAAAGTAAAAGGACTAATTCAGCACAAATATGGCATTTGTGACAATTCAATAAGACATAGTGATGAATAATACTGACGCAACGAGGTGTGAGTAGCATTTGACTGTTGTAGCTATAGCTCTAACCCTTTTTTGGACTGCAAATGATTGAATACTTGTACCCAGGTTGAGAAGTTTAAAGTAAAAGTAAAAAGTTAATTACTCTTTGGTGGCACTTGTACAACTCGTAATGTGAGGAAGGGCCCCAACTAGACACTGCACTTTTATTAGGCCTAGACTCATCTGAAATGTATTTTCTGTTGAACAGTGGCGGTTCTAGACCAATTTTACTGGGGGGGTCCAGGCTGGGGCCAGTTATTTCATGTTTCAGTCGTTTTTTTCATTTAGAGTATTTGTTTTAGTAACTTTAAGTGACAATTTAATTAAAAAACATAAACAGTATTTGCTTTCATAAGGTAATGAACAGTTTAATCTCCACTGTACATCCGGGTCTCTGATTTGATTTAGTTCCAATAAATCGTAATATTGTAACCTTTTATTTGGAGGGGGTCCACAGAGGGGTCCCTGGTCAGTGTTAGGGGGGCACTGGCCCCTGTTGCCCCCACCCCCCCTAGAACCGCCCCTGCTGTTGAAGCAAACAAGTATCAAGTAGATAGTCGTTTTAAATGTACTTTAAAATGGTACAGTTATTAAGTAAATGCACTGAGTTACTTCCCACCACTGCAGTTGATCAGCTCTTGGCACATCTTTCAGCTACTTTTGAGTGCACTGATCCCTATAGTTTCATACTGAAACTAAGTGATTCCGTATTCTTAAATCGCATGAAAACCGCTAAATGTGTGTGCGATCCTTTGTAATGTTTTGTGTTGCAACCCAATACAAAGATGTGACAAAACTGGGTTTTGGTGACATAGACTGTGAAGAAAAAGTTTGGCAAAATGCTGGCCCACATATTAAAAGAGCAGCTCGTTGGATTTATTGTGTAGCCAAAAAGTCAACTGTTACTTTATACAGGAATAAAGTTTGTGATGTGCCTTGCATCCTATAAAGCATTTACAACAGTAGTCAAGTGACAAGAGTGGGTCATGAGTCGACACAGATCACATCGAACAGAAACACTTCCTAAGTTCATAGATCAAGGTTTTTGAGTGCTTATGGCCTTGAGGAAGAAGTTGAAGAGAAGCATGTGTGGATGTTTTTTCATACAGAGTATAACTCCTAGATGTTTAGGTACATGTGCATTTGTGTGTATAGGTGCTGGTTCTACCAACAAACAGAAAAAGGTTTGAGTGTTTTCCAACACAACCACTTCCACATTATGGATCACTTCTTTCGGTGTCATGTCATTGTGTTTTTTCCTCTGCATCAGCTTGCACATGACATTTATGTAGATAATAGCCCTGGAAATGACATATTAACTTTCTGAAATGCAGGGCACAGCTTGTTTACCACTTTTACAGTCAGTTAACAGGTTGATTGTCAGATTATAAAAATAAAATGTTACATTTCACTGCATTTATTTTGGCAAATGTAAGAATGTATTATTTCTCAAACTAAATCTGTGTCCCATATCATGTGACTGTCAACAATGACCCATCATGTGACTCCATATCTCTGGTTGAGAACTGGGTCATTTTAAGGGTTTGGCTTACTGTAACATTTCGACTGTACAGTACATCCGAGTGAATCAGCTGTTCTCAGTAAGTGTTGCTAAAGATTGTCAATGTTAGCTTCACTTCCCTTTATCGAAGTGAACAAAGGGAGCAACACCATCGAGGTTTTTTCGAAAACTACTTCTGCTCAAAATCCAGTAAAGCACACTGCATGCATAATTAGGGTAAGGACCACAATTGTAGGCTGCACCGATTAAAAAGACACTTGAGGAAAATGTGTAATTTGTTATATTGGGCTGTATGAATTCAATTGTATTCCTTGTTGATGATCATCATTCTTAAAAATACATTTACACGGAGTAACTCTTATCAATCCCATTATTATCATCATTTTAAATCATATAACTGTCTGCAAAATGTGTGGACTGCACTGTTACTGAATTTCTTCATAAGAACAAAACACATTTGGCAGAGTTTGAGTTAAGACGCAAATTACAATATATACTTTTTTTTCCCCTCAATTTATACATCATATTAAAGTTAATATCTTTGGGTTTTGGACTGAAAAAAAAAAAAATTCATAGATATAACCTGGGAATTTGAGACACTAACATTTTTCCACGTTTTCTGTTTTGTTTTTTTTAACAATACAATAAATATTGTTTGTTTTTTTAAATGTTAGAAAATACACTTTTAACATCTGTACTGTTAGAAAAGAAAGAGTATGCCATGGACATTTATAATGTCCGGACTCCATAGTAACTACAACCTGGTCGCAGTTTTAAAAAATCATAATTTTGTAGGTGACGTTTTAGAAAAACACCAGGAGAGGGCAGCATTTCCTTAGACTTTGCTCATACAGTACTGTGGAGTAAATTACCTCAGCTCCCTCACGTTTCAAAAATAAAAACAATATGCAGCAGTTTTTCTCTTGCTTCTTCAGAACACTTAACATACTGAATGAATCAGTACATATCAATTGTATGATTAGCATCCGTAATTAATACATTTACCCCACACAAACTGTTAAATTATAATGGTTATCATGGCAATTATAAATGCTTTGAGTTTATTGACCTCTAATTAATATATAGTGACAATAGCTGTGGGTACACACTCAGTATGGATAGATCTTTTAGGATCTGGTGTGAATAGGAAACCCTCATGCCCAGTGACAATACAAGTGTGAAAAGGCAGAAGGATGCTTGGCATGAGAAACTGAGAGGAACGCTAACTCGGTAAACTCTACTAATTTCATTACTCTACATGTATCCCCAGCTTAGAGCCAATCACATTGTTGGCTGCTATCTAGTGGGGGGTCACACATAACAGCCGTTAAATTGTGACAGTGGCCCAGACTGGCATACCTTAGCACATAATCTTATTATCGGATCAATAACACAGCAACATTTGGTGCATAGCTGAGATGGCTGGCTTCTTCTCTGGTTACACATTGCTAGCATTCACCACTCGTTCCCACTTTATAGGTGACAAACTGTGAATGAGGGCAGGAATTCAAATAGAAATCCTTTTAAATGAGAGTCGCATAGCGCATCCTAGATCACATCTGGCTGTGCTACTGTCTCTAAAATTCATAAAGCTGCTAAATTATCAACACTCTATCAGTGTGAAAGTTTCCACAAAACCTCCATTTCAACAAAGTGATCTCTTCCCAATGGTGAGTGGTATTTCATGCTTTAAATTAGTTATAGAACAGAAACAATTACTCATAATGCCATGCAAGTTGAACATTGAGGAGATGCGGCACTTTACCATAAAAATATTTATTGATATCACAATCTTCTTGGACAAATGAGAAATGACACACAAAGAAATGTCCCAGAAATATTCAGAAATCCTAAATTCATAACATCTAAGAATGACACCGAGAAATGAAGAACTAAAAAAAGAACATTTTCATCAAATTGAACAAACACAAGCTTTGAGTCTGTTAGGAGCAAACAAATACTTGTATAAGTGAACACATTTTAGTTTTTTTTCCAAAAATGACCTTTATTCTCCACAAAAGATTCCTTCATGGATAAATGAGAAAGTCCACCCGAAACAAATGGTATGGTCATCTTATCTCTCTTTAGAAAACACAATAACACCATATTTTAAAACACTGGCCTAACCAAACATTTTTTGAAATACACATAAACACCAATAAATAGAAACACTTAATAGAGCAAATAATAATAACAACCAACAAATGTGTCATGATGACATTCACAAATGCAGATAAGTGGACGATGACAACTACTGTACCAACAAAGAGCATGAAACCAAGATAACCAGGGACGTTGGAGGGAATCCCTGCTTGATGCTTTTCATCCTCCTGTCCCTCCACTCATCCCTCTATCTCTCTGTCCTCTGCAAAAGTCTGTTGTGATCATGTCTGTCTCAGTCCAAACAGGTCACTGTGGCTCACACCTTGCCAAGGCCTGTGCTGCACCGGCAGCATCAGGAGAGAGGGAGGAAGAGAGATGCTGAAGAGAGAGAACAGCAGCACAGATTATAGCCACTCGGTCTCTCTCTGCCTCTCTCTGCTTTATCTCCATGGTGCACACACGTCGACCTGGAGCAAGGCTGTATACTGGCAGGGGACGCCAGGAGCAGAGAGAAGGGGGTGGATAGACGGGGATGGAGTGTGTGGGGGGGATAAAGGGACACGCTGCTTCAATAGCGGAGCAGGTCCAGGGACTAATTGGATCTGGTAATGGCTGGTCAATGTGACTGAGGGGCTCGTTAGAACCAATACAGCTCCTTGCCTTTCTTGTGCTGCTGGAGGCCTGAGAAAAAAAGGACAAGAGGAACAATGAGGAGAACAACAGCGAACAACAGAACACAGGTTGTCATGGAGCATACTTTTGCCAAACATCCTGTTTTAAAGGGGGAAAAAAGAGAGCTTCTGTAATGATTAGGATGTGTTATGTGTGCATGTGGGTGTGTGTGAATGGCTGTTTAAATCATAGTCTGTAGGTTTGAATGCGTATGTGTTTCTGTGTTTGATTAAGTGTAATCTATATTCAATACCTGGAGTGAAATGTATTTAGAAATGAATGGGACCAATAAAACAAAATCTTTACCCTGCAGAATTTCACCGTGCTCTCAATATGCTCAATTCGATAGTGTTTCATATTCTTTTATCCATAAATTATCTATACTTGCCATTTGCATTTGTTGAACCTGAGGTCTGAGTGTGTTTCTTTTCATTTTCTAATTTCCATATCTGATTTGTACACTGACTGTAAACAAAGGAACACTTTTCCCATATTGTTTTTGCTGATGCCTGACACGGTTGAGTAGTAATACCTGCATCCATGTTGAGGGCCAGCGTCTGGCTGAGGTCTCCTGGTGGAAGCAGGCTGGGCCAGGAGGCAGTGGGGTCCAGCTTGCTAACTTCATAGTGGCTTTGCAAGGTAAGGGGATGAGGCGGCCTCACTGTGGGCATGAGCAGGGGCCCGTAGTGGGGGTCCAAAGCTGACGGTGAATACAGTTCATGCAGTGGCCTTGGGTGGCCGTAGGCTTGGGCCTGGGGGTATCCCCAGCTCTCTGGTGGGTGATGATGCGAGTGAGGATGAGCGTGTGGGTGGGGATGAGCGTGTGGGTGTGGCAGCCCTGGGTGTAACGTTGAGGCGTATGGGTCCATGGAATAGGAAGGCACACCCGTCTCACAGTGGGAGCGGCTCTGAGGCGGGGAGTAGTTACTGTCCCAGAAGGATGGGGGGAAGCTTCGTCGACTCCTGCTAGGCGACGGAGTATCTAATGGGAGAGGGAGACAGAGAGGGGAAGGAAGATAAACAACAATGACATTTAGGCCAAGTCACAAACTGTTGCACAACTCTGTAGTGAATCACTTTGATTTATAGAGACATGTGGTAAAGGCTTGAGCTTTGCGAGAGGAGCAACCCGTGCTAAAACGTAGATTTCACTCACATGACTGCTACACCCTCTAGCCCAGATATCTTCCCCATTGGATCATACTGTCACACAGCCCAAGCCCCCAAAAGACACAGAAATAAACACAACCACATTCTAACAGACAGAGGAAGAGAGAGACAGAGAGGGAGACAGAGAGACAGGTAGAAGGAGAGATGTCGTTATATCCTAGGATTCTATATAAGGTAGACGCTCTGACCTGGACGGAGCCCAAGAATCACAGATTCCTAAATCACTCGCTGTGGTGACATCTCTCACTCTCATGTCAGCCCAGTACTTCTGAAAGTCTCACAACACACTCACGCACACACACAGACACACACACCAAACTCTTTGGCCCTGTACTTCCACCCGCCGGCCCTCTCCAGTGTCTCCTGCACCCCCACCTGTTGTTTTCTCTGCTCCCCCCTCTCCTCGCCCTTGACAGAATGTAGGGGCGAGCCATTATATGTTTTTAGCAGTATACTTATATATATAGATATTCCTCTGAAAAAAGAAACCATGCGACACCCTGAGAGCTAGTGTTTCCCTCTGCCCCTATCACACGGACCACAGCATATATAAATCTGACCAGCAGGCAGGCAACTGACTGAGCAACCATTGTGGGGCAAGAGCTGGAGTGATAGTCAGAATGGCAGCCGGAGAGACGTTTGAAGGGGATACGCCGGCGAGGCTCTGCGCTTACGGCCATGTATAAACATAGCATCTGTTGTGAGGCAGGAAGCGTGTGTTAGTGCCGAAATGAAGACGTCCGACTGAACTAGGAAAGACACTAACAGTGGTAGCAGAGAGAGTAGGGGCTATAGGCCCTATATGGATATTAAAGGGACATCTTCAGGCTGCTGGTAGAAAGGGATTTAGCTGCTTCTAGAAGATTTGCAAAACACTAAGTTTGTACTTTGCAATACACATGAAAGCAAAAACCCTTATAATGCAGTTTTTTTGTAATGCTTGTCAGGGTAACATTTATGTATGTGTATATTTTTTGTAAACGTCCAAAAGTGTTATCATAAATTACAATGGACTATAATTAGTAGTTCTAAAGTGGCAAGTTTTTCAAGCATACCACACAATATAATGATGCCTACACTAACATTTTCCCAAATCTCCAATCCAATAGCACAGCATGCTTTCTCTTGCTCTTCTTAAAAGCTTTACCCTAACCAGAGTCAAAAAGTCCCTTTGGACTCTCAACAGCTCCTGGCCTTTGTGACCTCTGAACCCGACCCCCCCGACCTCTGCAGGAACAACAGTCCCAACAAGCAGCTTTGTTTAGTCCTGTCACATGATCACATCACCTGTCTGTCCCTCTGAACTGTCAACTCACCCTGTGTGGCCTAAAAATCCATCTCAAGACATCACAAAGACAACTGTGGCACACGTGCTCACATTAATAAATGGATATTATAATGACGCAGTGATGTAGTGGAGGGCAAAAAACAACCAAAACTCAGTTTCCCCGGAAAAAGGCTGGCGTGCACCTTCATGAATTAAATGTGATGTAAACATCTTAGTAAGTCAACAGTAGCATTCTGATTGGGACCCATGAAAAAAAAGAAAGTAGTATTCATTCAAATACATCAGTGGTTGTTTGTATGCTGTTCTGAAAATGCAATGTTTTTTACTTCTCCAAAGTCCACTACGTTTTGGTTTTTCCCACTATTCACAAAAGGACTGGTGGGTGCCTTTTTTATCATATTGAAAATGTACAAAGTGGTATACCTGTGCCTGGTTGGTCTGCTGCCCGCCGTTTGCCCTCTCCATCCATGTAGGAGCTGAGGGCCCTGGAGAAGTGCTCGTCCACCACGCTGCTGATGTCCCCCTGGTAGTAGCTGAAGAGAACACAGCGAGAAGTCAGGTACTCTGCCTCAGGGGGCTCCTGCTTCTCCTTGGGGCCCTCCTCTTGCCGTGAAGCCACAGGCGTGAAGGAGGAAGAGGAAGAGTTGGATGAAGATGAAGAGGAAGTTGATCCTCCAGCGCCTGGGCCCCCAGACATCCCCTCGGGACCCCTGGGAGTGTCCATAAAATCCCGGCAGAGAGGAGAAGTGCTGCTCAGAGCAGTGGGAGCCTGTCAGGGGGGGTTAGAGGACAAGCAGGGGAGGAGAGGGTTAAAACAGGTGTTCGAGAGGACAGTCCTGGAGCTGTCTATGACACATTTTGACATAATGTTTTTCTTTGTGTGTGGCAGCGCTGGCATGTGTGTTCGTGCGCGCAAGCAAGTGAGCGTCAGGATTTTAGTTTTGTGTGTGCAGAACTACTTCTGTGCTTGGTAAGACACAAACAACACCGCTAATTTAGATATTCGTGAATTACTTATGCAATCAAATACTCAAATAACAAACGTAAAATAAAAAAACGACATGCTTACGATCTATCAGGTGTCTTGCTTTTACGCACAAGATGCATACATTAGCGGTGCCTCACATCAACTGGTGTTCCCATCACCCCGTTAACACTGAAAAAACACTGAAAAACTAAATAATTATTACGAGAAAAATTCACGTCCTACCTGTAAGCTATTGATAAAAGCAGTCGGTGCGTACGGTGCGTAATGTCCATAGGCTGGGTACATAACATCCAAACAGCTCATGGTAAATGAGCGGTGTCTTCACTGCTCTGTGGAAACCGACCTTGCTGAGAGAGCTAGTGATAACATTCCGTTTTTTTTGCCGAGAAGAAATGAGCTCTGTGATCGCTGATCAGTGTGAGAAAGCCTTGGCCAGACTCGACATAGTCCCCCCAGAAGGAGCGCACCTCTCTGCTCACTGTGTGCGCCACAACAGCTGCGGCAGCAACGTGTGATGAGGTTTATGGAGTAAGCATGAGGCTGTCCTGTCCTGTACATCTCTGTGTCAACCCCTCCCACCTTTACCAGCCCTCCACCCCCAACATCACCACTACCAACACTCCCACTTCCACAACATTGTTTGCTTTGGTATTAATAATGAATTGGCCGTAATCATTGAAATCCTATGATATGAGGAGTCAAAGGTAAATGCAGAAATCACGTCAAGGTCTGGGATTACAATATCTCCATTTTGACATATACTGGCAATATATAGGGATATACAGGTTTTTTTTAAACTGGAAGCATCCGGTGACTAATTATGGCACAACAACTTCTTAATCCTAGTGTAAAATAAAGGTTAAATAGAATGTCATCTAGTTACACAAATAGCGTTGGATGAAGTCATTGAGTTGTATAACCACATGACAATGAACACATGATACTGTGATTAAGTGACATTTTATTTCTTTCCATGTACTGGGGGTACATAAAAATGTTGTGCTCAGTCCAAACTGAAAGTGTATCCGTGGTCTTAAAACAGCCATCGGTTGCCAAGTAAACCTTCAAGTCATCTGAACTATTTAGTGCGTTCCGAGAATGACACATAGGTGTCAACTATAGGTTGCATACACTGGCCATACCAACATAGAGGAGAAAGGGACTCTGCACAAATCTATGACAAATTATCACCTATCAGCAGTGCAAACAAAAAGATATTTTCACACACACACACAAACATACCTGATGACAATCACATCCAGACCCTGAATCACAGGATTCATCCCTGACTATGTACAAAATGACTCAAAATGCATCTTCAAGACATAAAACATATTATACACCAAGCTGGAAACAGTCTCCAGAAAGTGTAGTCTATTTCTCTTGCTTTAAGGGTTTATCGAGGCCTTATGTTTGGGCATGCCAGTCTTTTTGACGAGCACTTCAGAATGCCTAGGAGAACAGTGTGGAAAATGTGCAGAATTCCATGGACGAGTGTCAGATGAGGTGGAATGTCTCTGATGTATGCGAGTGGACGAGCTCTTGGGGAAGTTACATCGTCCCTCTGCTGCGTTCTCTTGATTGAGAACATGACCAACATCTTGCTATGCATACATCACACATAGTATGAATAACTATAGTGGCAGGTTATTGGCATGCTAATGAACAGACTATGCTCTTACATTGCAGTTGATGAGGCTGATGGGCAGCACTGGAGTTCTCACTTTGACGTTGTCAGGCATTACTGTGTTAATAGGAGAACTTTACATCATAGCACTGCAATATAATACTGTGAATTGGACAGGATTGTATTGAATCAGTCACTGTGGAGAATTCTATTTGAGATGTTTACATTTTGAATTGTTTATTTATAGTCTTTTAATTTCTCTAATATACAATGCCTTGTCTTTTTATGCTTCTGCGATGCAAACATTTCTCAAATTGGGATCAATGAAGTACATCTTATCTTATCTTATAATCTTACACAGGGTCTGTTTTCATTAAATTAACAATTTGACAAATAGATTGACATTCTTAAATCCATTTTGATCAGTGTGTTACCATGTATTCTTTAGTTTATAACCCTCTCAGCATTATGTGCAATATGACCTACTCGATCCATATACGTACATGCGGGGTAATGCAGGACAGCATGGGACTCAGGAAGAAAGAGTGATGCAATGCTAGAAAGCTCAATGTTACACCAGCGTGATCAACAGCTGCAGCTGACAGAAGGGAAGGGAGGCCACTCTAAGTATTAATGGCCATGACTAAATTTCTCTCTGTCTCTCTGTCTCTCTTTCTGTCTCTGCTACTCCCGCCTACTTGTCTTCCCTAGTGATACACACACCTATTCTCTATTTAATCACACTGTGTTCCCCCTGAATCAGCCACCCACGACTGTCAATTGTGTGTGTGTGTGTGTGTGTGTGTGTGTGTGTGTGTGTGTGTGTGCGTGTGTGTGTGTGTATGTGTGCGTGTGCGTGTGCGTGTGCGTGTGTGTGTGTGTGTGTGTGTGTGTGTGTGTATGTGTGCGTGTGCGTGTGCGTGTGTGCGTGTGTGTGTGTGTGTGTGTGTGTGTGTGTGTGTGTGTGTGTGTGTGTGTGTGTGTGTGTGATAGTGCACGCACATACGTGCAGCAACAGTTGTCATCGACTGACCAAACTAGGAAGGGAGCAAGGGAGACAAACAGCTTGCAAAAACATGGCAGAGATCCCAAAGTCTATGAGTCGGTTCATTTGTGTTTTCAAAAATATTGGACCATGCATGCAACTGAAGTCTTTGCATCTGAAGAACAGTATGTGCAAGTATCTACAGTTTCTGTTTTGTGTGTGTGCGTGTGTGTGTATGTGGAGGTGTCTGTCAGGCTACATTTACGTGTATATGCTGAAAATAAACACAGGTTACATCACTCCTTGTGACCCTGCAGCACATTTAGGCCCCGCCTGTCTTAAAAGAGGTCTAACCAAGCAAAGGCTCTCATTGGCTGAGATGTTGCAGGGCCTGCTGAGGTAGTAATGGCAACCTGGTTTTATTTAGAACACTATTCACATTGCAACAACACCATTAATAGTTTATAGCCTATGCTACAATGACTTTAAGTACATTAAAGAAAAGACTGCATGCATGTACTTCTATCAACTCTTTGCATTACCTTTAAGGTGGAGTTTATTGCACATTTAAGGAAAGTTTTAAGAACAAAATGTGTGTCTTGTCCAGTGTTGCTTACTATTTTCCCTATGAAAGCAGGAAGCAGCACAAGCTCCAAAAGTTGCTAAAGTCCCCAGATGAGATACACTCTTTAGCATGTTGGTAATGTCATCATGCAATTATTTGCATAAAGTTCAGTGGTTGTGTCGGTTGCAGCGTGGGAGAGACTGCCTGTGCATAATGTAAGAGAACTGCAGTTAATATGAGCAGCATTGGGAATGAAGAACACAGAATATATTCAAATATATATTCTTGCTTTATCGCTGATGGTCTAAATATGTCTTTAAATGTGTCATTCATGGTAAAATGGAAAGCGTAGTCTGTGTGACACCGGCACCAACACAATTGTCATGCTGAATGGAAAAAGTAGAAAAGTGTTGCCACTTTATAAGTGTCTTAATATAAAATAAACTATTGAACAAACATGTATGTAAATGCAAATAAGGACAATGTGACCAGTAGGCTTATAGTGATGGTCTGAAAATGGGGCTTGTTGAGAACCTGAAACCGCCAAAGCTACCTCCTGAAACAACAAGGCCTTTATTAAGGTCCCAGTCTGGCTTAGTCCCAAGGGGGTCGGACCTCAGGATTCCACTGTTGTTTATATGCCTCAATGTGTATGTGTGTATGTGTGTGTGTATGTGTGTATGTGTGTATATGTCCAAGACAGAGATGTACAGCTGCTCCGTTGTCCAGTTCCACACAAACTCATCTCAGCTGCTCAAAATCATCACTGAGTGTCATCGGAAACACAGACCCATTGGCACACACACACAAAGGGCCACATATGGACAGGTCTGGCTCATTCAACCTTCTACACAAATGTTGGTGATAAATCTTCTGTGATAGATTGTGTGCAAGTGTGCGGCTATTTTCTTCCTAAAACAACTCCCTCATTGTGTCCACACAGACCACCAGGACCCATGAAACCAGAGCTTTGAGTAGTCGGTTAAATATGAATCAAGAATGATAGTATCATATTTGTTTTAACTCGATCACAGCATAGACATTTAGTTTTCACATTGTTTAATATTTTTTATACCATCTACAGTCATCAGTTTCAGTCGCACTGTTTGAAACCAAGTTGTCGGGACAAAAAACCCGATTGGGATCTCAGAACAATGTGTTGAATAGTACCAGGGTCTTTTTTCGTGAAGAAGCTATCATCCTGGGTTTAAGATACTGAAAATATTTTAATTGGTTGACCCTAACCCTTTACTAGTCTTGAATGTTAAATTGCATTTAAATTAATTCAGCATTTCTTTCTTGTGTCAAATATAACTTGAACATGTTAAAAAAAATACCTCAATGTATTTTGTGATAATATACATGTTATATTTATTCTAATGTTTGATTAGTCTATATCACCCAGCCTTAATTGATTGCTTTATGTGTTGATTGATTTGAAATCTAATATTAATCAAGCATGTTGATTTTCATGACGCACTGAAATCAACAGTGTAGTCTGCAATAGCTGTGACGACGATATACTCGGATGTCTCCATGCATGCATTCACACACACAACCCTCATAATGATGCCTCCCACAACAGTCTGATGATGATGATCAAAAGTTATCAAGGGGGTGGGGTTAATGGTGTATGGGTTTGGCCTTTATATATACAGTCTATGGTTGAGCCATGGTACATAAATCCGTTGAGCAGTTCTGCACCTTTTTGATACAGGCCACTCTTTCTGCCACGCTTACTTTCTGCCAATTGGAATTAACACAAACACCAATTTTCACACCCTCTCAGTTAAAACTTTTTAAACATGCCAAAACACTGGTTTTGTTGTGCACTTACTGAGTTCTGGTAGTTCTGTTTAAATCATGCATTTTGTCTGAGAATGTGTGACAAACAAAGGAAGCAGTCTTCACTCTTCATTTCCCACACACACACACACAGAGCTTGCGTACAGGTAAATACTCTGAATGTTGACTGTTTATTGATGCTAACCCTCTGAAACGGACAGAATGTGAATTAACAGCATCCTCCGAGAGGCTGACAAGTGCTACATTCCTAACATCCTATTACCGAGGGTAACCTGCTGCCACACTGCCACTGGGTCACTGGAGTTATGCACACACAATCACAAATTCACACACTCACATACAAACACACATACACACATATAAAGCCAAATGAACACATACAAATGATGAAAGATGCACACTGAAACACTAATCTGGACATGTGGGATTGTCACCTTCTGCTTGAGATTCCTGTTTTAGTGAGCTAGAGTGAGAAGGGCACTGCATAGAGGTGTGT